GGGGGGAGCCTCAGTTCAGATGGCGAGCTTGCTCGGCAATGGAGCCGGCACGGCTCGTGGGATGGCTCCTGAGGCTCACATTGCAATGTACAAGGTCTGCTGGTTCAATGGATGCTACAGCTCTGACATACTCGCCGCCATTGACGTCGCCATTCAAGATCGAGTAGATGTCCTTTCACTCTCCCTAGGTGGCTTCCCTATACCTCTCTACGATGACACCATCGCCATTGGAAGCTTCCGAGCAGTGGAACGCGGGATTTCCGTGATCTGTGCAGCAGGAAACAACGGTCCAATCCCGAGCTCTGTTGCAAACACAGCTCCATGGATATCTACCATCGGTGCAGGCACACTCGACAGGAGATTCCCGGCTGTAGTCCGTTTAGCCGACGGAAAGCTTCTCTACGGAGAATCAATCTACCCGGGGAAAGGTATAAAGAACGTCGAGAGAGAGCTCGACCTGGTTTACATCACAGGAGGAGAGAAAGGCGGTGAATTCTGCTTAAGAGGGTCGCTCCCGAGAGAGAAAGTCCATGGAAAGATGGTGATTTGTGACCGTGGCATCAACGGAAGATCTGAGAAAGGAGAAGCGGTGAGGGAAGCCGGTGGTGCTGCAATGATCTTAGCCAACACAGAGATAAACGGGGAAGAGGATTCTGTTGATGCCCATGTCTTGCCAGCCACTTTGATCGGATATGCCGAATCAGTTCTTGTAAAAGCTTATCTTAACACCACAGCAAGACCGAGGGCTCGGATAATTTTCGGAGGGACGGTGATTGGGAGATCGCGGGCACCAGGAGTGGCTCAGTTTTCGGCTCGGGGCCCGAGTTTAGCCAACCCTTCAATCCTCAAACCCGATCTCATAGCCCCCGGAGTCAACATAATCGCCGCCTGGCCTCAGAACCTGGGACCAACGGGACTTCGAGAAGACTCGAGAAGAGTTAACTTCACTGTCATGTCCGGAACTTCCATGTCCTGTCCCCACGTCAGTGGAATAACAGCTCTTCTCCGGTCTATCTACCCAACTTGGTCACCAGCCGCCATTAGGTCTGCAATGATGACAACCGCAGATACATGCGATCAACGAGGGAAGCCAATAATGGATGGGAACAAAAAAGCCGGCTTGTTCGCCATTGGAGCAGGGCATGTGAACCCGATAAAGGCGATGAACCCGGGATTGGTGTACAACATCAGGACAGAGGATTACATTACTTACCTCTGCAGTCTCAGTTACACAACCTCAGAAATCCTTACAATCACCCACAAAAACGTGAGCTGCAGCGAAAAACTGAAGAGAAACCCGGGTTTCAGCCTAAACTACCCATCTATTTCCGTGATCTTCAAGCGCGGAGAGACAATGCAGATGATCACGAGGCATGTGACCAACGTTGGGAGCCCTAACTCCATATACTCGGTAGAAGTAAAGGTCCCGAAGGGATTTAAAGTGATTGTGAAGCCTAAGAGACTTGCCTTCAAACGGAAGTTCGAAACTTTGAGCTACAGAGCATGGTTTATATCGAAGAAGATGATCGGGAAAAAGCGGGTTACCTTTGGGCAGGGGGATTTGACATGGGTGAACTCTCGGAATCGGGGTCAGCGAGTCAGAAGCCCCATCTCCATCACCTAGAAAGAACAAGTAACGAAAGAAGGGACCATAAGAGAAGTACTCAACAACTATGTTGGTTTCAAGAGTTTGTGTTAGAATTAGGATGTCGGGTTTTCACTTGGAAAACCTCTGGATTATTAGCAACAAGAGGACGCTACATTGAGTAGCTACAGAAGTTGATTAGTTATCTTCTACTAGATTAACTGAAATCATCGATAACTCCATCTTATGATTCAACCCATCAACAAATTCTAAACCAACTTCCAGATGTTTATTCGACTTTCTTTTCAAGAAAGCAGAAATCTATCTTTCCAAAGAAACATGAACAACAAATGCACAATGAACAGCAAAAACACAAGACAGAAGCTCTTTGAAGCCGACCCAGCTCATGATGCATAATTAAAAGGCGGAAAATTTGAGTTCTGATTGAAACTATACAATCATTTTTTTAACAGATGTAGAGAATCAGAAATGGGTACATTAACCCAAAAAAAAATACCTGAAGAAGAACAAACATGTAGATGCAGATCCATGTTGCAAGGGAAGGTATGCATATGCCATTGATGAGCTTTTAGGCTCATAGATTCTGTTCTTCAGCTCCAGAATTCTCATTGGGTCAACTTCAGAGCTACGAGGGGAATTCCTCGATCAGTAGCAGTAAGCATTAAACAACTATAATATGCCTTGTTGGACTATTCATCAGAAAAGCCAAGCTTTTTGCTTGATTTTTATAACGATCAAAACACATGTATTTCACATGTATGTACACATGCATTCCACATCTACACGTTATTTCACATGTATGTACACACTGATATACATATACATATTTTTTGCACGTGGTCATGTATCACCCCCACTATGAACAAGGAACACGTTTTCTTTTGGGTAGAAATCTAATGTCTCCATTTTCCATCACAACCCAAGGATGTATTGAACCACCTCTTCATCTCTCGGTTCTTTCCCCTGCACCTGACAAAATATTTGCATGAACATCACTTAGCAATACAAGAATATTGAGGATATGAGGCGTGGGATTGGTTTAAGAATGTTTTCCTATCATATGTAAACCCAAGATTTGATTTAAGGCATTGATGATAGAATTGGATCTGCTTACTGGCTCTGGTGGCATCCGCTGATGTTCTCATGATTCTAAGCCTTTTGACTGATCCAACAAACATCCTGACCAAAGCATAGAAATGTTAAAAGAACTGTCAAATGATATTGATAAGCTACAAAAAAAAAATCTAGATGATGATAGGACGATACTTTCGGTTGGCCAACATTTACAGAGCCAGAAAGTAAATCAAAAGAAAGAACAATACGTACTGCCAAGGAACATCTCCGACAAGCATCCAATCTCCGTCTTTATCCTTGTATGTAAGAACACATCCTGATGAGCCATCTAGCAGTTTTGTACCCCATGTTCTTGACACTCCCTCACATCCCTGTGCACTTGATCCTGTATATAGACACAACCCACCAACTTCAAGAAACAAGAATCGAAAAAAATGGATGTAGCAAGAAAACCCATCAAATGTATGGAATCTTTTAACTTTGGTTTTGTGTGTCATCCGCAGAACAAATCATATTAAACTATTGGAGGAAGAACTGACTCGTTAAGGAAGGCGGCTGGAGAAACATCTCCACCAAGGTTTTCTCCAAGGCCTCATAAGAGCTATGAGCACTCAAATCGACCTTCCTTCCGATAGTAATTCCATCCATAGTCACCTTCACAAATGGGGAAGCCCCTGTAGCATTGGAGCCATTATCATCTTTCTTGCCGGTTATGCCAGTTTTTGACGTCTCCCTCCGGATGGATGGGCTCAAGCCTTCAGCTCCTAAGCTCTTTGCTTGGTTGACTAAACTGGTGATTCTGTATGTCCGTATCGGTGGCCACCCAACGACATGTCTGTTCCAATGCCAAAGCAACAGAATCAGAACGAACACAGAAAGAAACCCAGAAAATAGAAGAAACATCTGACAATGTCAAAACCCATAATCCATAACTTCGACTAAAAACTTCAATGCCATATCGTGAGACCTCTCCCAATATGATTCTACCTAGCTCTGATCCTTCATTAATCTCCCAAAACAAAAATCAAGCGTCACCATACAAAACTTCCATCATCCACAACACCTAAAACTCTTGATAACAATCTATCTTCCGCAAAACAAGCACTAGATTCCATGTTAACAAACCTATGTAGCACATCTAGCATCGTCTACAAAAGTTAGGCCATTTCTTGTCGGCGGGAACCAAATTAGTCTACCCTTCAATGAAAATTATTCACAGACAAGAAAACAACTCGAGAATTCATTACCCTGCGGCATTAGTGAGAGCTGCAGAATCAGCAGTCCGCTTAATGGCACCAGATACACTTTCTCTGCTCAGAGACGAGGACGAACACGTAGACAGGGAAGAAGATGAATGAACCCTGGAGAAATACTTACGACCTTTCAGACCAAAGTTCAGTCCCAGCGCTAGGTCGAGCTCGGTTTCCGTGTCGTCCGGGCAAGACGAGTCCTCGGACGATAAAGCAATATCGTCATCTTCTCCTGCCAACGCCGGAACCATCACCAAACTAGTCGAATAGCGATCACCAAGCTTAATCCAGGACTAAAAAAAAGGAAAAGGAAACAACCAAGAAATACTCTAGCCCGGTGTGGAATTGAGAATATTCAGACGGAAGGTTAGAACCCCGAAAAGAAGAAGAGAGATTCATAAACGGGTTTCACCAATCGTTCGAGGTTTTGAGATGTCTGATCGAAGATATTCGAGGAAACGAAACTTCGAGAAGAAAAGGAATCCAGAAACCAACTCAGAAAAACTCCGACTTCTCGGGGTAAAATTCGGCGTTCAGGATCAAGTTGGAACGAAACTGGGGACCCAGAAACGAAATCCGCAATTAGCACGCAACTGGCGAAGAAACTCGAGGAGGATACGGGAAGTACAGATCAAAGATTGAAAATTTCTCGAGATTGAGAAGAGACAAAAAGAAGGGAGGAAGGAGAAAAGAAAGGGTGGACTGGTGGGGTTGTTTGTCTGAATGGTTTATGGGCTTAAAACAAAGATAGTAATGGGCCCACCTGCCTGCTTTATGCTTTTCCAACAACATCAATCTTACGAGATGTTTTGTTGGGACCATTCTTCTTCTTCTTTTTTCATACAAGTGGTGGTGACAGTGTAATTATGGATTATAATTAGTTTATGGATATTTACTATAATTGAAAAAAATTGTTTAAATACGTGTAAGTAGTGTTTTGGGTTTACAAGAATGATATGTTTTCTAGCCAAAGACATTTTTGGCACACGTTTGATTTGTCTCAATAGTCTTGTAGATGACAATTCAAATTTGGACGTGTCGGAGATAATGTGAATACAAATCCCTTGCATTATTTATTTGATTAAAATATTAAACGAAAATTCCAATTCGATTTCTACCAAACATTGAAAAACAGAACAGAGAAGCAATTACCAACCAGAATCTTCTGCCTTCTTGCACGATATAGAATCTGTTCTGATGGATGTTGAAACTCGAATCAAGATGCTGACACTGAATCGTTCATTACAAAAGTTGATGTTCCCATGGGATGGGGACAAAGATTTTATCAGAAGGAAACCAAGGAGAAAAACCATGTAGTCGAATTCAAAACCCAGATGAAACAAAAAAAAGAATTCTTATTTCCCACTTGGAATTGGAACAACAAAAACCAATCTCAAGGAGAGAGGAAGAGTTAAACCCTGAATCTAAACGAAAACCAAATCTAAGGCCACAAATACATTATATAACCAAAATCTTCTTTTGGTTCTTCCTAAAGGCCAAACCGTTCACCTTCTAAACGAAAGCAACCCCTGCCACAGGAAAATACAAAACTACTGCGCGTAGAGGGGAAGTAGTTGGGAAAATCAGCAAACAGAGATTTTGTTTACCGAGAACTGCGGTAATAACCGTTGCCTCTCGGCCTGTAGTCACCACTGTCCGGGTGGATTCCTCTGCCAGATGCACGGGAACCAAACCGGCCTCTCGGGGCATCAACTGGATAGCCAACCCTTCCTCGTCCTCTTCCTGGCCAGTTGGAAACATAAGAACGTGAGTAAAGTTCTCAAGCCAACTATCCAAAATCTGATATTTAGCCCATTTGGAATCGTTCGTTACACATTCAGATATCTATTAATTGTTCCAACTATTAGATACATTCATAGTTTATAAAAAGGGGTCTTGCTAAAAGGAACATACTTCCTCCACGAACACCACTCGGGTTGGGTCTGCGTTCCTCAATGTATACTTGCCTTCCACCCAACAGTATGGGTGACGCCTGTTACACATGACAATTCAAAGTCAATGGAGTGAACTGAATTGCAAAATTCACAGAAACCAGACACAGAGGGCATAGTAAGCTGTACAAACATGTTGGATTGATACATTAAATCACAGAGAAAATCGTTTAGTGAGGAAAATCATGTCAAAGGTTTTAATACCTTGATAGCATTCTCGACAGCAAACATCTCCTCAAACTCGACAAAAGCATAGCAAACACCGACAACATCCTGCATCATGGTTAGCTTGTTAAGTTGGTGTACTTGTGAAAAACAGCAAGGGGGAGAATAATAGTATAATACCTTGCGGTTTCGGATGAAAACACCATCAGGCTTGATTGCACCAAAGTTCTTAAATTCTTCCTCAATCTCAGCAGCAGTTATGTCAGAAGACAAGTTTCTGATGTACACAGATTTGTACTCAACTGAAATGAAAACAGACAAAATAACTTATGACTTCAGGGTATCACCACTCTTAACCAACAGTAATTCAAAGCATAAAAAAGCCAAAAAAAGCATATGCCATTCTAATTAACTTTCTGACCACGTTCGGAAACATGTATGAAAACCTCCAGACTTTGGCAAGTTAAATAATGTTTAAACTACTCACAGTCTTCAAATCCCGAGCTATCTTCAGCCTCTGCTCCATAATCAGGCACATATGGGAATGAAGCGTTTGATTGCTGACCACCAGGATGAGGCACAGATGTGTTTAGCGTAGCTTGAGGGGCCAAAGGCTGTGGCGATTCCTCCCATTCATTTGTAGCTTGGGCGCTGTTGTTATAAGACTGTTGTGTAGCAATTGCTGGCACTGCAGTTGCCTCCCTTGCAACTCGCAACTGAGCAAAAGAGAGAAATCAGAACATCTTTGATACACTAATTTCCAAATTTATGCACCAGAATCAACAGTTCCCTATCATCTTCAGGACATAATTTTTAATCATGATGCCCATCATTAGCTTCAAACCAAAAAGAGAGATAATAGAAGTTTCCAATCTAAGAGACTACCACTAATTTATATTTTTTACTTGGATGATTCATTCAGCAAGAACTAAAAAACAAAAATGGGAAAGTAAATATGCAGGGATATGTTTCTCAAGGTTCATTAGCAAAGACATAAGGGCGACCAGTGGTAGAATGAGTGCTTACAATAGATGCATAAGTCATCTTTGATTTTTCACCAATAGGTTCCTCTGCTGGTGCTGCTAGAGGTTCATGCACCGTCTCAACCACAACTTGATGTGAAGCAGAAACCTCCTCTACAGGAGTTTCCCCAACCACAACTTCATTTTCAATGTCTTCTTGATGAGGCTCTTCTGGAAGACTGTATTTATCAATTGGACCATCTTCTATATGGACAGAGTTCACACAGTCTGTTGCCTCTTGCTCCAAGACGTAGTCAGGAACTGGAGAAACCAGTAATGTCGGAGTAAATAGCTAGCAAAACACATTCAGTCCAGAAGGAAAGACCTCATGAGATCTTAACAAAAAAATGAACGAAGTGAATATTCAATAAGAATATTTGTAATGTTGGTCCAGATGCTTTAGTTAAAACTTGAGATAGAAAAGGCTTCTGCACTTTTCCTTTTCTATCAAGTCGTTCCTTTAGCTAAAATCGAACCAAACATTAAGAAAGCTCCTTCGTGGGTTAAGTGATCACAATGCAAGAAACGTAAATAGTGTTTTTTTTTTCAGCTTTACAGACAAACCTTGTGGTTCTGGAGTAGAACTAGTAAAATTCAGCTGAGCCTCTCGCTTGCTTTCAGATAAATAAAGATGTTGATGATCAAAGACAGTTCCATCATCTATAAACTGAAAGATGTCATTCAGAACAAAATAACCCTTTTCTTGAGGAGCGAGGAAAAATGTCTGCACAAAATTCCTTCTGTTGCTGAATTCCTTGGTTTTCACAGAACCAGAAACCATCACCAAAACACCTCCATCCCAAGACTCCAGTGAATTGATCGTTTTAATTTCAATCGCAGTAAAATTTAGTGTCATGGCCATGTTGTGAATATGCTGAGGTCAAGATGGAGAAGAAGAAAAAAGGTTAATGAACCGGACTTATATAATGATTCATGAAATCAAAACAAAAGACAAATTACATTCCTCAAACCAAAAAAAAAAGTGAACTGTATAACACAAGCATGAGAATAAATTCGCTAGAATAACTTAACTGATTAACTCAAAGCTTCTGCTTATTTGAGTTTGGATTGGAACAAGCCATTTTTTAATTCTCAAAGAACAGAAAAAGTTAGATCGAGAGGGTCATATTCAAAGTTATTAACCAGAAACACATTCATCATATTAAAAGCAGGAGAATATATTCGGTAACAATGCCTTCAATGACCCATTTGAGTTACGCATCCAGTGATTTAAACTAATTCCTAAGATTCTATAACAGAACAGAAGGAAAACTGAATCCAGTGATTTAAACTCATCGAACAAAATTGTCAACTGATATTCATCGAACAAAATCTGTACAATATATTCAGGTCTTCATCCGTACGGAAAAGAAAAACATCAAATCTACAGCCAAAAGCATAAAAAAATGTGAATTCCGAGAAGGGAAGGAAAGCGTTACCAGCATCGTAGAGGCAGTCTCGCTGGAGTCCCCATCCACGCGAACGACTTTACTAGCATCAGAGTAGAACTGATGAACAAGGTCCGGCTGCTGCTGCAACACTTGATAGTACTGTCCCACAAAGTACGAACCCACCTGAACAGAGAACACCGACCGATAAAGGTCAAAACCCACACAATCAGTACACCGCAAACACCCCACTGATCGGGACAGGGACTCACCTGAACAGCACCGGGATAAGGAGTTGTCATTACTGCTTTAAGCTCAACACAAGATCAAGGAAAGAAAAAGATCTGGGGAAAAACCCTAGGAAAACACCCCGCGGAACAAGATCCGGCGAAGATCGAGAGGAATAAACCCGTAAATCCCGCACGCTTAATCCTCGAAAAGAAAACACCAAAACAAGCGAATGAACCTCCGAAAGCGACGGAGAATGGAAGACGAGAGTAGAATTCCGGCGAAGCAGATCTAAGAAGAAAGAGACAGCAGGACTGAGATTTATGTAGGGTTTTCACTTTTCAGGCACAGACTCACAGTGATTCGCAGATCTAATGGGGAAGAGGGGGGAGAGAGGCGATAGGGTATTGAAACGGTGCTGTTTAATATTCTTTTTCTGAAGGCATCACCGCATCTTTTTTTGCTGATATTAACCCATGTTGTTCAAACGTTCACAAATTTATCCCCAAATTTATGAAATGATCTAATTTTACCCATTCCTGCATTAAGAGTACAAATTAAAGAGTAAACCTTGTCTGATGAATAGTGTGTACAAAGACCAGGCAAAAAGAAAGAGGGCACAAAAAGATTTCCGAAAACAGAAGTTACTCTTTCACTAAAACTAACCTAAAGTCATTGATACACGGGAATTGTGATGTAAACAGTCACAGAGCAGAGAGATGGTGAAGGCTTCTCAGTAGTAAGGAGCAGAGTAGTAGGGCTGAGGAGTGGAAGCTGGTTGTGGAACAGCGTTCACTGTTGCTGCAGCTGCGTAACTTTGTGGCATGTATGTCTGAAAAAGTTTTGCAACCCAAAAAAAAAAAAGATTTTGAATAAATGGTTATATATTTGGATTTAAAGCCAGGCTCGGATAATAACAAATACTCTAATCAAAGACTAGAATCCAAGCCGATTCATGACCGTTGGTTAATGGAGACAGATTTGTTATCCCCAAATACTATCAGAGCCGGTCAAGGCATGAAACTTGTCAGCTTATTTCTAGGTCTGATAAAGAATTTCTGGGGCCGTGAAAGTGAGAATACCTGAGCAGGATATGACGCGGAAGGATATGTGCCATAAGCAGCAGCCTGTGGCACTGAGGCTGGTGCCTGTGGAGCAGCATAACCAGCTGGATAGCCACCATATGCAGCCTATTAAGCAAAAAATCGGTACGTTAACCAAAAATACAATCACAGCACGGAAAATATTACTATGAACGAAAAATCAAACCATAGTTGGATAACCTGTTGGCCATAGCCTGGGTTCCATGGCTGGGGTGGTGCAGGGGCTTGGGCTGATGGCCAAGTCTGAGGCTGAGCAATGTAGCTACCAGCCCACTGGTTCTGAGCAGGTGGAGTTCCACCATAAGTTCTTGCCATCTTGTTTCGATCAGAAGAGAGAAGATCCTCTGCACTGCGCTTTTTCAGCTCTGGTGTGCTCCTGTGGGGTGAAAAGAGTTTTGCATGTTGATCTTCAAACTTCTTTAGGGACTTTGCATCTCCAAATAAGCCCAAGAACTGCAAAAACCCATGCACCAAAATGTTACAAACAGACCCTATAAAAAAAAATGAGAGGTCTACAATTGAAAAAGAATGTGAAGAAGATTGTTTTTCTCTCTGTTACGGTGACTAACCTCTATATAGATAGAGGATAACTCTTCCCTTTCCGCAAGACTCGCACTACTCTGGGAATCTGCATTCGGCATCATGAACTTTTCGACAAGTGGCTGTAAATAATCAATCTGCCTTGGTGGCGGCTGAATTGTCTCAAAATGAATCAGAGCCTAAAAAGAATCAAGAAAGAATAAAGAAAAGTGGAATCGATACAGTTTAAGAAAAGATGAAGACGATGATGACAAGTGAAAGAGAAGCCAAATCAACATGATTGAATCTGGTTCACAAACCTCCAGGAATGTTTTTGATGGTTGTACGTGGTCAAGTGCTTCTACTAGAATCTTCCTGGCTTTTTCAGCATCTCCAGAAACCTTACCAAAAAAATAACTCGAACAATAAGAAGCCAAATATTCCCCCGACTCCTTTGCAAAAATAACACAAAGCAAATGCTTCGGGGCTCGGTTACTCAAAAAATTCAGAAGCTCATGTGACTTACCAAGTAGGTAAACCTTGAATACTGAGCATACAGAATGGGTAGTATTGGGGAGTGTTCCTTCCCTTTTTCAATAGCAATTGCTTGTTCATACAAAGAGAAAGCATCATCCAAATTCCCCTACAGATTAAATTAAAAACCAAGTTAAAGAACGGCCACACGTATGACAATCTAATTCTTCAATAGCATGATTGTAGAAGCTTACTAGGCGACGCTCCATGTTTGCATGTCTAATTATTGCTTCAAGGAGTCCGGGTGAAATTTCAGAGTGTACAAGTTGATAAGCAGCTCTAGCACCTGTAATGTCTTCATTCTGCTCTTTAAATCGAGCAGCAAAAAGGTGAATCTCCGGTTGTCTCTGTCAAAAAACAAGAATCAGATAAATAAACAGGAATACTACAATAGATTATCATGCACTAGGCAAGCACCGGACTCTTGAGCAAGGAAAAGAGCCTAGGATACGCATCCTATCATCAGTGTACACTTCGAAAGATGTAGGTCACCACATATAAAAGAAAAGGAAAAGCTGTGCATGCAAGTTGAAGAACTCAATTCCCAAAAGTTTTACTAAAGTCTGACACAGCTATGAGCGAGTAAAATAAAGGGCATAAAAAAATGTCTTTAACTACAACAATCTCCTTCACAGCGGGAAGAACAACCAAAATGGTTTAATTTGATCCGACAAAAGTCGAAGCTCCCATCACAACAATTGTTTTACAAATTACATCATCATTTATAATAGAGAACTGCAACCAAAGCACCAAGTGATTCAATGAAACATCCATACCTTGACAAAGATTTGAGTTGCACGAGCAAGAGCATTTTCTGCAAGATCCATACTTCCATTGGCCTCCATACTTAAAACATACCGAATCCAAAATTCAGGGTAATTTGCACAGGCAATCATACATCTTTCATACAACTTGACCACCTGTTGGAAAAGATAATTGAAGTTAAAACACGCATCATGATCACTGGACAAAAAGAAATATCATGTAAACAATGCAAAGCACAAAGGAGAAATCCACAAGAAATACTCCATTATCGGAACAGAGGGGCCCCTCAAATACGGAGGGACCCTCCTTGCCTGACAGACAGATTGTTAGGAAGGCAAGAAGATACCTGCATTAATATCATTGGAACTTTAACAAGAGCGAATATCTCATGAACCTAAAATGTCCATTGACAAATGAGAGTTGAAGTACTTAGCCTTAAAGTTACCAAATGGAGGGTCCATGCTTTGGTCTCAGTTCAATTTCCCATTTAAAAGTTGCTTGATCCAACGGTTACCGAATAAAGCATATGATGCACCAGATACTACTTAACTGTGAGTCAATAATATTACAAAGATACGACTCAAACTATGAACCATAGATATATCAACATAGAGAGTCAAGCACCTGGTTACCTTATTTAAGTCACCATCTCTTTCTATGAAATCCAGATAGTTATGCCAATTCTCCAGTTCAGCCACATTGAGAGGACGCACATGGAAATAGGGCCTTCTTATGGCCATTTCGAAGCCAATGATTTTAGAATCGAACTCTTTAGCTTTCTTATACATGTCTTCTCTTATAGTGATATACTTCTTCAATTCCTCAACATCACTTGAGCCAGCAGATGCTGATTTAGGAGATTGTTCAGCGGAAACATCAGCTTGCAACAGCCCCTCATCTGCGCTTCCACCAGCCTCGGATTGTGCACTTTCAGCAGGATCACCAGCAGATGAGGGGGTAGTAGCAGCTCCGGTGGCAGCTTCCTCGGCACTCTTTAACTCTGACAGAGGTCGTGTTTCAGCTAGTTCCTTAAAGCTACAGCACAGATCACATCAGGATTTACAGAAAAAACAAAAAAGCAATGAAGAAACAGTTAAAGGGTGCATCATAAAACAGATTCCGTGAGCATATCACTGAAACAGGAGAACCATAACTAATCACAAGCTACGTGACCCTTCAACGGCCAAAAATTAGTTAGGCCACCCATATGCTTTACAAAATTAGACCTGGTTTTCAAGTCCAAAAATCAAATATTTTAAGAAATGTAAGGACAAGGCCCATTAATTGGAAAGTATGTTCATTAAACAAATTTCTCACCCTAAATCATGGTTGAATTTATTTCATCCAATTTAGCTTATGCGGAAATTGTTGAAAAATACCTGTTGAAATATCTATCAAGCTGTTGATTCGGATTCTCCAATATTCTAGTATATATCATAGCAAGCCTGCCCCACTCTTGTTGCATGTACTCATACTCGATGTATTTGTCCCACAAAGGAGGGGAAAGATAATCAGTTCCAACATAGGTCAATCCTCGTTCAAAAAGCCTGCAAGCATATCATAAGATATATGGTGAAAAGCAAGAACACAGATACACTCAATCAATAAAGACAAATACCAGCTCTATCGAAAAAAAAATAAAAAAGAATTCACTCTTTGAATGCATGACACTGCCAAACACTGGATTTACCTTCCTGGTTAAACCATACCATGGCCAAAATCGAGCAGTGAGAGGCTATCTTAGCCCAAAACTGGTTGAAATCTTCCCACCAGGATTTTGCATATAGATGAACTTCGAGAGTAAAAACTAAAACAGGCACTTTATAGATATTTATATAACTTCAAATTTTTCAAGTAGAGCGAAGTGTAAGACCGCCACAAAAATGGAGCAATTTCAGAAAAGACATGAAACAACTATATAAGTAGGCTTAAAGCTAGGTTTTCGCACATCAAGAAAGAAGTATTTCTAAGTTCACTCCATCAGATCTTTCCACCATAAAAGAGACGACTTGCTGTATGCATGCTGAAAAAAGGGTTAGATGATAACTATAAATCATTTTATCTAGGTAATTATGAAGTAAATCCGGAATTTGAAATGTTCACAAATAATATAGACTAATGAACACATATTACCTTCTGATAGTGTCTGGGTCTCCATAAGTATTGATTGCAAAAATGCAATAATGCAACCAAATGTCAACCGAATACGTCACTCCCTGAACTGCCCTTTCATAAACCTCCACAACTTTGTCCATTGCTCCCACTCGAGCCTCATTATCAGCATACCTTTTCCAGTAGCCATAACATAGAGGAAATTCAGCTAGGAAAGCATCATAGACTTTTCGGATTTTCATTATATTGTCCTGTATGCAGGGTAGAAAAAAAATCATTAGCTCTTTAGAACAATTAGACCAAGAATCTGACATAGAAATTAGTAAAGGACAGAGAAAGCTGAAAGAGACTTATAGCGCACAAACAGATTTTTGTACCTACACTTCTGTAGCATCGGTCATAAGATCCAACGACCAAAAAAAAAAGACAAACATATATGATGTAAATGAAAAATTGTTGTAATCACTTCTCATAAGGTTAAAATGAAAACTGTAGCATTGTTGTGGAAATCAACACATACCTGTGCCACCTTCTCTGTTTCATCGACCAGAGCAGTCCAAGCATTAAACTCTTGGGAATTTACCCTTGCAATATTCCATAAGCGCTCCTCTTCAGGAGAAAGAGCAGATCCTGTAATAACAAAGAAGGAATGAGCAAAGAATTGCACTTCTGAAGTAAACACTGAATTCAAGTAACTAGGAAGGAACCTTTCAAAGTTCAAACACGTTAAAACGTAAATTGTGACACGTCAGGATTCATGAACAAGGGATTCTGATTCCAGAAGCCTTTTGAAAAGGAAAACAAATTACCAGAAGCATCTCCATGCGCAGCCACTGGAGCAGTTGCAGCCATATTATCTGTTGCATTTCCATTCTCAACTGGCATATTGGAACCACCTTCAACAACAGACCCATTGACCAAAGATTCGTTATTAACAGATTGGGATGAATCAACATTTGTAGCATCACTTTCATTTGCAGCAGTAGGGTTTTCGAGCGCTGCAGATTCTGCTGGAGGAGCTGAAGCACTGTAATCTTCATATGGGGCGGAGGTATAGCCACCAGAACTATAATTTACAACACCAGATGCCTCTGCAACCATAGTCTCGCTGTCCGCCATAACTTCGGAAAAGAGTATTCTACTACGGTGAATATAACTGCAGTGACACCAAGTTCCGATAAGATTAGAGTCAACAGAACGCACATAGAAGAGAACTGCCATGACATTTAACTCAACCGCAGTTTTCACAAAGATAGCAATTTAAAAGCCGTGTATAGATTATATATAAATATAAGAAAATTCCAAATACTTCAATTTTTATAAGCTATCGAATTTTTAGGGAGAGAATTGAACTAATGTATAAGAATCGCCACAGCCCTTCCCATAATTAAGACCAATTATCTAAACATGTTAAACTCAAAAACAGACAAAGCCATGATAAAACACAAACTAAATATGAACATTTCTCCCTGAAATCAAAATATAAGGGGAATCAGATATCAAGTCTGCTAACTGGGTATCCAAAACCCTAATCAAGGCAGTGCCAGGAGAAAGCATGTGTAAAATTCACAATTAGCCCAAACGCATCAATAAACCGACGAAAAAGAGCAGGGGAAAAGATCCCTAGTTCAAAAATTCATCGAGAACGTGATCAAAGGGGGAGGAAAACCCTAATAGAACTACTAATTAGATTAAACACAAACATCAAACATTGGAAGAAAAGAGACGAACCGCAGGAACTCAAGAGCTCGCTTCTAGAAGGTTCTCGAACGAACTGCTCTTCGCCTTCGAAAAGATTTCAATAGAGGAGCTTTTTCCGCTTTCGGTTTGGAGTTTCGTTTTGCTCAAGAGAGGACGAGAGCCGTAGGGTTAAGTGTGTAATGGCAATCGAAGCCGATGATGAGTATTAGTATTGCTGTGTACGGTGCACCTAAAGACCCAGCGGGATTCAATCTGGACCGTTGAGACCCAAAAGATATATGGACCGTTAGATTTATCCATCTGGGCCTCCCCTCCATTTGGGCCAACAAAATGGAAAAGGCCCATTTCGTGATTTGAATTCGAAACCCTTTCTGGTATTTTTGTTTTTTTTTTCCTTCGATCATTTTGATTCAATAACCATCACGTTTGTTCTTCTTCTTTCTTTAACAGAGATTTCACAAACATCAAACAAACAATCGCAAACCCTAAGACTGCCACTCCACCCACCGCCAGAGCCCACCAGAGCCACCGTTCGTTGTGTGTATTTCCAATAACGTCAAAGTCAGATGTATATTGGAACTCAAGTCGTTGTCCCTACTATATTTTAGTGTCAATCCAAACAAAAAAAATCTCTGTTATTACGAGACACTCCGCGTGAGAAAGAAGGTTTGAAAATAAATGTTATTTTCTAACACGTGTCACGTGTGTAGAACCAGGGTCTCTCGCTCACCCCGCCCGACATCGAAACGGTGCGTTTTTTGTGCAAAATCCACTATTCACGCGCCTTGCGAAATCAGGCGCGTGGATTTTGATTGCGCGTGTGTTCCCGTTCCTGGATTGATTACCTATGAGACCCAAAGATTGAGTTGATGAGTTGGGCCTTAAGTTATAATATTATACTATGGGCTGGATTACGGCCCATTTAAAGCTTATTAGGTTTTTTAAAGACCTTTTTTTTTAAATTAAAAAAAAAGGAAAAGATATGCTAATGAGATTTGATGGATATGATTAAATGATAATGATGCTATACGTGTTGGTCGGTATCCGTTTAATCCGGCTTTTTTTTTTTAATTGATGTTATACCTTTTCTGATATTATAATTTGACAATTTCGCACTTATGACAAAAATAAAAACCTGCATGGATTCACATGATTAGTCACCATAAATATGGGTTTAATTTGAAGAATTTTTATTTATATGCAGAATCGAGTCGAACAGAGGAAACCCATAAATCTTTAGTTCAAACAAAAACAAACACAGACAGAATCAAAGGTTCCATTGAAATGCCAGAAACTATATAAACAGTAAATAAGTATATAGTTTTGTATTCATTTATCAATACAAATTTCGTCTGTGTTAAGTTGTGTATCACCGCCGCCGAGAAAAGCCGTCGTCGAAATTGAGATGATAGCTGCGTAGATCGTAACCGCACTGAACATTGATGTTACTAGTTTTCTGCGACCGCAAACGCGATTTCAGCCTCCACAGCAGCTGCTTCAGGAGATTCGATGTCCTGCAACACGTAAACGCAACCGCTCTTTCCTCTGCGTTTTCCGGCGTTGACGTCGTAGAACTCGCGATTCGCTTCCCCCATCTCCTGAACTGAAGTCTCTCTAAGCTCTGCGTGCTCATTGTCTCTCTCTCTACGTTTTGTGTGTTATGGGATGGGAGTGATGAAACAAAGAAGCAAGGAATGAGTGTGCGTGTGTTTGTATATATGTATATATATAATTCGATATTCTGCGAAACACGTGTATGCACCTCATTGGTGGGGCTAAAAGGAAATTAGTCAATATTAGTCAAATGGAAATTATTTTCAGTAGGGAAAAGGACTGAAGAATTTTTATATTTATTATATTTGTTAACTTTGGATATCGTCATATCATATCAAGCGAGAAATGGAAATCATTATCAGAATAATATTCAGAAAAGGTATCAAATCTCTGGCGAATGGCGATAACTCTACATGTGGAAAGAGTCCAACGGTTACCGA